TCCTAGAGGGTTTATTTTTGGCCGATCGACGACTCAGTACGCTGAAAAGCAGATCATCCTCTATCCGCAGAAGAAACACTAAGTGTACCTCAAAACTTCGATTTTTTTGATTGCCATTTAATCCAATTTTTGAAGTTGCCAAAAACACAACTTACATTGCAATTCAAGTTATGAGCAAAAGTATGTAAAATGTGCTGTACAGTGAGGCATAGTGATACTGTATATGAAGGAAAGATTATTGCTAAAATACATACATGGAAAATGAAGGATAAAGCTCTCGGCGTTGATCAATCCCTGAAGGATGCGTCATGCATTCAACTTTATTAGGTTTTGTTGGAGGTGACTGAATGCATATTTTTTCACCTTTTTCTTCCTTTTCCTCGCATTTGCGGTCATTTTTGTATCATTTCTTAATTTTATTTTTTAAACGGAGAATTTCGAACAAGGCTGGACATTTCTGAGATTCCAATTCTGCAAAAGAAATTTCAGAAGATTTACCCTTTTCATTGAAATTTGCCTGTCAGAAAAAAAATTCAATCGGATTTCAATTTCGAAACTTTTTAAAGTTAATTTTCCGCTAGTTGAAAAGTGCTGTGAACAGTCCTATGGCCTGTATGTGACATAAAGTGAAGTCGAAGAATTCAAAGAGATTTATATAGATAGGAAATGTACCGCGGTCGGAATGAATTCCGAAGGAGTCATGTAGGCCACCCACCTATGTGGGTAAGTTTTTAGCATATTCATGTTAGAAAAAAAGTAGACCAATGCCAGATTTCGCATTAATTCTTCAACTACACCAAAGTGAAGGCTTAGCAAGACGATGTTAATACATCATGCATGAACGTGAAAAGAAATATTGCAAAAACGTATACAAGGAAGATGAAATCTCATCCTCCGCATTGATTTCCAAACAGCTTAGTAGGAAATCACTATAGATGTGAAGGGAGGTCGCTGATGTGGTGAAACGATCTCGTCGAAATCTCAGTTTTCGGAAGTCTCATGTGAAAATTTCAACAGTGTAAGATAGGGTTAAAATGGTCGAGAGCTAGATAAACTTCACTTTGATGATGATATCTTCATCGTAATACTGAAAATTGACTATATTTAGTTTTCGTGCTACGTATTGAAAAAAAGTGTTTATAAGGAACCCATAAAGATTTTTATTATGGGCGGGTTGTTTCCGATGGCTGATTCATGTAACAAACAAACACTCACTTCTACCACAAATTCCTTTATTCCATAGTTATTCTTACATTGAGGTGTCTGTCACCCGTATCGTCTACGATTTATCCAGCTCGTTCATGATTTTTTCAAATGACACAGACAGCATCACAGTTTTGCCAGATTTTCCTATGATGAGAACTTGTTAGTGTTTTTAGCAAAACGGCAGCGAAAAATTGTTCGTCGCGCACTTCAATGGCACGCTTCGTTTTTTTAATGGAAGGGTAGAGATACGTCTCAACCGATCCTACTAAGGATAAACCACAAGCTGCACATAGTTATTCAGTAGCCTGTAATACATTCAGGTTACGATTTTAACTCTCCGGAATTTGAATTCTACTTAAGGATGATTATCGAGGGAAGAATTTACTTGTATGGCGCAACTTCGCTACGCGATTGGGATGGCTTAAAAATTTATTATTGACCAAAACCATAGAGGCTGATAAGAATGATATCAAATCCCACAAAGCAACTAAAATTCACATCCCACTGTGATTAGTGCCTCACTGTATAGTTAACTACTGATATTTTTATTCCTATATATATATAATTTGTAAATAAAAAGAGGGTAAAGCTCTCGACGTCGATCAATTCTTTAAGGATGCGCCATACATTGAACTGCACTAAGAGTGTTAGTTGATTTAATGTATACCTGACCTTATAATGACTTGCTGTGGCCTATTGATGTATCGAGTCAGTGCTGCTACCCTTCCAAGCAGGTCTAGCACTAATTAGCCGACTCTGGAGGAATGGTAGCGTCGGTAGGCCTGCGGTTCAGGATCGAACCCATGTAATTTGATTGTAGGTAATTGCAGGGCGCCACTAACCACTGTGCTACGCGCGTCCCTATGTAATCTATAACAGCAATACTACGGTGTGTTTTGCCTTTACGGTTCTCTATATGCATTCTTAAATACTTTAATCTGTTTTTCGTGCTATTATGCACTTTTTTGAGTGTGAATGGGGTAAACCCCTTTAAGAGAAGCTCATCGCTTAGTAAAAAACCGCAGCAGCTGCACGATTTTCTTGAGCACAGTGCCCTTGAAAGAAAGCTTATCGCCGTCCCATTCGCACCGCCTTTTAACCGCTTCGTTAGTTTCCCTCTCAAACGTTTCACTCTGTTTTAATCTCTTTCGTAAGCCAAAACACACTACAATAGTTTTTAATCGTATTTTACCTTTTTATTTGCAAAATTATCACTCAGTGATCCCGTTCGTCATCGACTGCGCACTCGTCGCACAGTTGGTGCACAGTTTTTTTTGCCACCATCTGGCTTTTTTCTGTGGTATTTTCCTTAAAAAAGCCGCACTCATATCTTCAATGCTCCGAAATTTATTCGAAACCTTATTAATTAGTTCTGATAATCTTCCACTTTTTTACTGAATTGTTTATTGTATGAATCAAATCCCTCCCAACGGTTTACCGCCTTATCGTGACTGGGAGGTGTTCCTGGGTGTCGGATTGCGATGTACAGCGGGGATTCATCCACTGGCAGGGTCACCCAAGCTGAGAAGGAATCCGGCGTTTCCATCAGGAAACCTAGGTAAGAGTAAACCAATACCAGGATCCACCACCGTCCTGGCATCAAATCGCATGATGGTAAATCTCCCTCTGATCCACAAGGGCTGCGACTGTCCGTGGTGGTGAACACCTGAGGCCGACTTTGGCCAGGGTGACCTTGGAACTCCAGGGAGCCATACTGGCTTAACCAGCAAATCTCTGAGAAATGGAGATTATGCTGGGGTCCGTACAACCAGTGAGGATGGGCCATTCAAGTATCAAGTAAGTATGAATTAAATCGGTAAAATTTTTCATTCTCAAGTAGCTAAGGCCACTACCAGATTCAAGGGAGTCGTTCCACTTTTTCGTAGCATTTTAAAAAAAAGATTAGTTGTTAAAAATAAACAAGTTTTCTATCAATATTCGACAACTTTGTTTAGTTTATTGCAATTACATTTGGCCTACGCAGTGACTAGCGGTGGGCTTACCGATGTATGAAATCGGTGTTTTTATGCTCCCAAGTCAAGTCTGATAGCAACTCACAGACGTAGTAGGAATGAAGCGTTTGGTGAGCCTGGGGAGCACGATAGGACCATCGTTTGATACTTTGTGAATATCTGCTCTAATCACTCTGTTGTACATGGGACATATGTATTCAGTCACTTCATGATGCTCTTTATAGTCAAGTGCATGGTGTTTCCTTCAGACATTACAAAGCTCGGAAATTTATAGTTTATCCTTTTAATAAGCATCCATTTCCGAGCGCTTTACGAAGGTGCGATCACTCTTTCGTAGGTTCCATGATAATTCTCTCTGTATTGTACCAATTTCAGTAAATATTCGGAAATGGGAGGTGCTGCAACCATGACCCCAGCAAACCCAGTTCTCTGCAAGTCTCCGAACTCTTCAAATTGCTACCAGACTTCTTGAGGTGGACCTACTTCCGAACCACAAACACTAGTCGCTGCCTTTGGTCCCCTGGAAATGTCTCATCATTGCTCTCGCAGATTTCCGGAAAGAATCTACTCGTCCACTATTCAACGACATTCATAAAGGAAACTAAAATTCCTTAAGCATTTTCCAAACCTACAGCCAAATCTGAAGACCTTCGTAAGTGATGGATACGAATAAACGAATGGAATTAAACAAGGGCTGGTATTCACTAAATATGCCATGTGGAGTTAGCAAAAAAAAGCCGCTTCAACCAACAGAGATTTCGCACGTATCTTTCAACTCAATAACTATTAGTGTTCTCTAGAACTTAACAACTGCGCTAAGAAAGACCTTTTAGTTCTAAGATCCTATAAAGGGCACTATCGTTCGCTTCTCTTCATTTCTTTGCCGACATATACTAGTTATCTTAATTTCGATACCGATATCATTTTGATACTATGAAAGCCAAGCCGCCTTACTCTACGTAGGCTGCCCTGCAAAGTTTCTAATCAAACCGCTTCCTCAAACATAAGTCATACTTCATGTTTTCCCAATGGTCCCGGCCTGTCAACGATATTTTTTAGCAAGGATTTTAAACAGATCTGAAGTAGCACTTAAATCCGTTATAATTTTTAGGGTTATAGTTTAGGAAGCGAAATCCGATTTACAAACTACCAAAAAGTTTAGTTCGATTCTACCGAAACAACCGTAGAATGTGATGGAACCAGGCTAACCAGCTGAACTTGCATTTCCTTAAACGTCACTCTAAATGACGATCTACTTGGTCTGTGGATTCCTCTAGTGTCGTTACAGAATGTGAGGAACTATGTTAGTCACTTCATCGATCATAGGAGTTTTTCCCTCTTCAGCGTTTCTTCATAGCGGAAAGTTCTGCTCTAGCCATTTTAGTTGTTATCGTAGTTATCAACTGCTTCAGCTCTCCCAATAGTTTAGGTTTCTCAATTCTCTCATAGACAGCTAGAAATTTGCTTAATAGCAATTTTTTTGGGATTCTTCAAAACTTTCTTCTCCAACCAAGAAGTCGCTTCGTGTTTGCACGTGCATTCCAATAGAAATTCCTATTGCGTGAGCTCATCACTTCGCCCATGCTCAGAAGCCGCTAGAATTTTAAAAACTTTTTTAGTTACAATTTTTTACAGTGAGTGAAAGTTTTATGAAATTTGACCAAACGTAGTTATAACCAATATCTATAACCTTTTAGTCTTCGCGTCCGCTTCGTTATCGATTGGTGTCACCGAATAGCTACTTTTAGCCGTTGAGTTTTCCAAAAAAAGCTAACATTTTTTATGTTATTCTTGGTTAGTTTTAAACAAAGGCTTTTGGCAATGGTACTGGAGAAGTAGGTGTTAAAAAATATGTAGGTATCTGGCCGATCGTCGCCTTCCTGACCGCTGACAGACACTTTTGACACCTGTGCCACTTGTGTGCCGTTGGCGTTTGACCGAATCTGTTATCAATCGCCTGGGTTTTACGATCGCTAATAGTACCCGTTGGCCATTTCTGACGAGGCGACAGTGGTCGGTTGTGGTTCAGAGCTATGGGCTTAGACCGAGGATGAGTTTGATAAGATATAAGCACTTGACATCATGTCCTCGCTTTTTCGAATTTTCTTGGTAACTTTTTTTGAACTTAAAAACTTCGCGGTATTTTTCGCTTCTGCTTCACTTATTTTTTCATGTCTGATTTTCCTTCGTATTTCTTCCGTCATTCTTTATTTATTTCACTTGACGCGTCTTTAGATATACCGTGTGCATCATCGCACTTCTTTTATTCTATTCTTTAGCTGGCACTCGTCATTTACGACGCTCTCTTTTTTTCGCGTGCATTCGGCAACTGGTTTTAGATACTAACCTTCTTCATGACACCGATAAACTCTGATTGAGTCTACTTTCTCTGGAACCCTGAAATAGCTGTGCTAGAGCTTTCCAAGACTTGCATCGCAGGCTGCCACTAGCCTTTTGTGGATTTTACGGAGCGTACTGATCTCAGACAAGTCTGATACCGCTTTCCTAACTCAGGAGAGATAGGGATTTGGCTGGTTCCGAACGATATAGGACAACCGTTTTATGCGTATTGAACGGCACCAGTACTAGTGCTCTACCCGCATCCTTATTAGCACTGGTATGGATACGATTATTATCGTGCTCGCTTTATACTGTCTTTACATGCTTAGGATTTCACAGCGCTAAAATGGGGTGGTAAGCCACTAAAGACAATTACAATAAAAAGATGTTGAAATTTTTGTAGATTATTGGCAAATAATATAATACACAGGGGCGCGCTGTGCAGTGGATAGAATTGATCTTGTCACACACAGTTGCGGTCACTGGTTCGATATCGCGTCTTGGGCAAGCCAAATCTTCTATCTTTCGGGTGTTGGCTAAGTGGCTATCAGGTTTGTCTGATAGGATAAAAGCACAAGGTTTATGTTACCAATTATTAACCTATATAAATCACTGTATATAGGCCAAATGTGCATTCGTCCGTCTATACAGCGTTACGAATGGAGTCGAATTCATCCAGTTCGCTTAGCGATTAATAAATGCTGGATGTTTTACTCTTTTATTCTTTCAGTAATCCACTACAGCTTTTAAAATTTCTTATTCAATTGAAACCATCATTACGCAGGTTCTACTCATGATTCACGTCTCGTCATCTCCAATCTATTCAAATCCCCATTTTTCCATTTTAGAAAGATGTTCATTTCCTTCCAGCTCTGTGTTTTTGCATGGCAGTGATATTTTTCGCTCTTTTATGTTACAAGTATTTCTCGATAAAATCTCTTTTTAGGGGGTGGTGGTTGAGGAACGTGGGGCTGAAACTACCCACAATGTTTTTATTTAACCTTATCGCTACGATAGTTCTTTGGATGATAGGAGAGGCAAATTTGGTTTGTGCTTTAAACATTTCTGCACCAGTTTTCCGAAATACCTCCTATTTTATTTTAAAGATAATTTTGGGACAGTGGCACATATTGTGTGGATTTCCACCACGTTTTATGCTTCTCTGATCGATTTTCAACGAAGTTAAGGAGTGATTCATAGATAAGACAGGATGTTCCCGCAATGACTCTAACTAGTAGAAATTTCTGACAAAGTCTTAGATTCCCAGAGTTTCCTCAAATTACTTCCGTAAGTGATTCAGCAACCTAAAAAATTCGATTCGATTAATTTGCTCTGTGGCCCGAAGCAAAATTTAAGGATTGCTTTTGTACACGCTTCAAATAAATAACCTGTGAGTGAAATGTACTCTCTTAGCAATCAGTACCTACAAAATTCTGTGGGTGCTATGTTTATAAACGCTAGAATTGCCTAAGTCGTTTCTATTTTGTTATCGGTTGATTCAAAATTAATCAACCACTACCATTAAACAGATTTGTTTCAGTACACCTCAAATATATTGATTTCAGTTCAGTTCTGGCACATTTCTGGTGCGAATCTCTTCAATGAAGCGACAACATGTACGGTATTGCTTCACTGAGCTACCGTACCACTACCATAAAACCTCAGCCAACCTTTGCTTAAAATCTGGCCAGTTGACAGTGACAAATCGAACCGATACTGTTCTTCACTTCCGCATTGCAAATTTGACCACGGTCTGTTCCAGATTTTTTAAATCCTATCTTTTTTTCGAAATTCAGTATTTTTTGGGAAACATTATAAAAAAGCACCAAAAACGCTTTTCTGAGTTTGGGCCAGATTAAGATACAAATATAATTTTACCGGTAACACTATGACGATGTATATTATTGGACGACCTCAGTCGGCGTAAACAATGTCTTCATTCTTCTATGCCGATCATCAAAATCCGCGAGTTGGTTCCGACTGCTTAAATGTCACGAAAAGAACCAAACTTTTCGTTTCAAATCCACCATAACTATTCTATTTATCATATTTATTTTTGTTGACAAAACCTCGTACTGATGGATAGGCGAGCTCTTCTAAAGTAGAAGAGGCTATTTGTTGAACGCGACCACGAATCGTTTTCTGATATCTCTTAGCATGCTATTTGAAGGATTTTGGTTGAATCAACCTACAAAGTGCAATGTTTCCATGTGTAGTTGAGAGTATCCATATGTGCACAAATACGACAGTAGGTATTGGCTAAAATGATGCGCCAGACCCCGGAAATTTTCTTCGGCATCCATTCGTGACTCAGGTTTGTTTAAAGTCTGGTTTAATCTCTTCCTCACTACATGGAGAGGTGCCAGGTAGTCTTGTGACTTATTAGCTTGAGATCTTTCGTGAAATAAACCTCAAGGACTACAAAAGCTGAATAAGTATGGATTAGAATACTACTCAATTTTATTTGCTTCCTAACCAATCAATGATTTTTTAGGCGTATCTTACTATTGCTTTTGACATCTCCGATACAAACGGTGGTGCTGACGAAGGTACAAGTAATTAAATAACCTCATTTGTTGAAAGATCGTGACACTATTTTGTTTTAAAAATATCTACTATCTACTATCACTTAACTAAATTGAGAACATTCCTAATGTAAGTAGCACTCCATGGTCCCTTGGCCACCATAAGGTATGGCCTTCATCGTATATTCCGTGGAGATAGCTACTCATTTCTCTAACTTTATGAAACTCTTCATACTTATAGAGTTCATCGGTAGAAGATTTCTCTGCGAAATACAAAATAATACACGATAGTACGAAATAACCAAATTTCCATCGACTTACTTCCTAGAAAGTAATATATTGACTGAGTTCGTATTCATTGCTTCTGTGAATCCATGGAAGCTTAACAGCCTTCAAAATAATGCTAACATTGCGGCACATCCTGTTAGCTCTACTGAACACCACGAACTCAACCGTTTTGTTTTATTTCTCAATTTTAACCACTTATTATCTATTTGTCTTTTCTTCTCTATTACTATTCTGTCTTTAATCACCATTCTTCCTTTTTCCTTATTTTACCTCCTTTCTACCTCGTCGCTTTCTGATTTGTTCAGAGAAATCACAAAAGTTATCTTATCGAAGTGTAATCGACGGATCACGACCAGCTCAGCGAACTGCAGTAGCTAATGGATTGATTTTCGATTTTATCACAGTTTGTAATAGGTAGGTATTCTCGCCTTTAAGCTTTGAACGTTCAAGCACGTCGTGTGGTTGTGTTGCCTATGTAGCGAATAATAATGATCACTCTTCATTTTAATATATTTTTTCATACGGTAATATGCTGCCCTTATTTTTCATTGTAACCTCTCCCACACGGATTTGACAAAGGATTGGTAAGAGCAGAAAAGGACAACATCTGTTGACAATCACTGCTATCGTTGAGAACCCTCCTGTGTGAAAGGGTATAGCCGAGTAAGTATGACTTATTCGAGAGAGATGCTCCACTGAGGAAGACCCGGCTCGATGCGCTATGAAGACACCACCTTGAGAACACGAATGCCTGTCGACTATCCACCCGTATCATCGGCTCTGGTGAAGACGATACTGTAGAAACGTTAGTCAAAAATAAAAAATGTTATCAACCTTATGTAAGCTTCCCAAAAAAACAATAGAAAATCTCTAATGTTTCTTGTCTTAATGTTGTCTTAATGTTTTTAAATAACTTCATGCCAATTTATTGTCGGCTGCCGTCGAAAAAAATCTGTTGTAATCATTTAAAGCGTGCGTTTAGGCAGTATGCGAGCACATCGAAATCACTGCCACTAAACCTTGTTTCTTCGTCAGACCCAGATGTTGCTGTATGCAGTTAATGCGCTACAGTACTTCTAACAAAGGCTGTATTCAGACCCTACTATGGATTGATGTGTGCGCAGTACTGTGCTTATGCTGCAGGTGATCATCATATTTGCGATTCAAGTGGTAAAAAAGTGTGTCTACCCGGTTGGACTGGAAAGGATTGCACAATAGGTTAGCTTTTAACCAGTAATTAACTAGACAATTCGTTGCTTAGCAAAGCATCCAGAAAACGCAATCTTCACCAAAAGGATATAAATAAAGGTTGTTTTCGTTTCACAACAACATTGCTTTTGAAAGAAAAAAAACTTAAATATCTGAATACTTGGATGGATTATTTTAGGAAATGATAATGCGGTTCTAGCAAAAATGTCATTTGACTAGTAGGGAGTCGTCGTCCATTAAGCAATCAAAGTGAACATTATGATTTCGGCTGCAGCTTCAGTTTAACTGGGTTCAGTGCCGATTTGTACTCCACAGATCATTTCCACATCACTGTAGAAGTTGACATATTTGCATTGTCCTTACCGGGCGCCTACATACCTTCTGTCCCATCGATACCTCCACGTTAGCAACATGGGCGCTTATTTACTTCTATCTGGGCTTCAGATGATAATGTCTAGCTCTTTCTCATAAGAATCATTCCCATGATTGAGTTGCTACTAAGCATATCATTTCATCACCCAAAAATATCTGCATCTGCGCTGGGGTGGCATACTATTTGACGTTGTATGGAATTTGAAACTCTAGCCCTCTCGAAATAAAACTACTCCTGACAAATATTTAGTAGTCATAAAGAACAATGTAATGGTGCGGAAATGTTTTCTTTTCAGCAACTGGAGATGTCTCAACTACCCGTATCGACGACATTACAACGCCTTCACCAACAAAGTCATCGTCGTCGAAGAGCACTGCTGCACGGTTAGCATCGAAGCATAGTAAGTCCTCTCAAAATCGCTGGTCGACTTGAATGAAATCTAACGAATCATAAACATGGAATTTGTTTTCAGTGACAACGATCTTGAGGCCTAAACTCGATGAACCGAAAACGACTCCCACACTGCCCTCGAAAACCATGTCGTTGGCTCGACTCCACACCAGGACAAGACCATCTGTGAGAAGAGGTATGACTAGGAAACAGTAGCTGTTTTGATCGCTTTGTCTTTCAAGAATGGAGACGGGGGTAACGAAGTAGCTAGTGATGACGCCAATCAGGAATCAAATGTGCTGGTTCGATCTCCGCCCAGCAGTCCTCTCCTACCCATGTGGGCACGCCTTTGCTGAGTTATCTTCAAGATTTCAAAGAGGATCGATCCGACCAACACTTTACGACATTCATAGAGAAGGTGGACCATGTGGCGCAGTGGTCGGAAATACCCTGCAAGACACGCGTGGAATCGATGCTCACGCCCATGGCCCCACTAAGCCTTCCATTCCTGTGGTTTCTGTAAATTGGTACCAGACTTGTCTAGGAGGATAGAAGCACTAGCACGATACATCGGTAGGCCACCGCGAGTCACTGTAAAGGCGAGATATCCATTCAGTCACCTCCAAACGATACTAAATGAAGTCGAATGCATGGCGCATCCCACAGGGATTGATCAACGGCGAAAGCTTTATGCTTTTTAGTCCTTTACCACAGAGAAGACGAAATCATCAAGCAGCAGCCAAAACAACGCGAAATTTTCGAGGACCAGTGTTGATGATGAATCCGAAGGACCGAATTGAATGCAGGAAGTGCTGGGATCCATACGGTAAATCTGATGACGGGTCATATAAAGTAGTGTAAAATAAAATAAACTGAAAATCTTAACCCGTTTATTTACTGCCTTTTTCTTCTTAATGGCAGGGTATGTTGCGAAATATAATTCGTATGAAATGCTGAGATATTTGCAAAACTCCGGACCGCAGGTGGGGAACGAACACGCGCCGTTGCTGATGGCAAAAAAGATCGATAGAACTAGCTGAGAGACAGGCAAAACGAAGGACCCGGATGGTGTGGTGGGGAAGTGCGCTGCTCCTCGGTGAGGACAACATCGCTTCTTCGTTCCCCACTGAATGCACCTGCGGTCCGGAATTTTGCAAATATCTCAGCATTTCATACGAGTTATAAGCTGATAATCTTCCGAAAACTTCCTATTTTTACAAATTCAGCCTGATGACCTTTAATTGACCGTAATTATCAAGTAAAACGCATGAAAGAATGGATGGTGAAATTATATGGTTCCTGTGTTAAAAACGAAAACTGACTTTTCTTAGGGTTAACTCCTACCCTTTCTCTCTACACCGTTGGTGGTTTTACTTCTCCTACACATTCAATACTACAGACCTTCTCCATCACTACAGTTTCTTCAACTGGTACGTTATTCTATTTTTTTCAAGAAACAGAAGGTCGTTCACCACATAAAGTGTATTTACTTCTAATCTTTGCTGAATTTGAACATGTATACGGTCTACGCTGAAATCAGGATAAATTTCTACCTGTGGGCCTGAAAACTGGAACAGTCAGTGCCTGCAGTTGAAATCGTTATGTCATATGAGCTACTCTTTATGAGGATAGGAAGAAGAGCCGTATGGTCACCATTTTAAAACACACTCTAGTCTATGAAAACTTTTCAATTCACCACTAGTAGAGAGCTTGTTGAAAATAAAAGAAGCAAACGAGTACAACTGTGCTGATGGCCATCTAGGCATTTGATCGTGAATGTGACAGTGATGTATTCCATAAAACTGACCAACATTGTCAATTTTCTTGTACGATAACGTTTTTATAACATCACGTAAGGCACTTTTTAGCTCCAAGTCCAGCAAGTTTTTCATCGGATGATCGAGTTTCTACTTTGCGAACAACATCGTCAACAATCACGAACTATGCGTCAAGATGTTATACCGCCTTAAAAAGTAAGTGACGAAGACCACTTGGCAGTCTCCCCAATAAAAGTCGCCTTACGTGAAGCTTTGTTATCGGTGATTACCTTCTTAAGAGTTTTTGATGGTACTGATTTGAACACATGAACAGTTCATTAGTATTTCAAAAGGTGAGCGCTAACATACATTTTCCATACAGCTGGCGTTCCTATGGCCAGAGTGCCTTTTTCTCCTATCTCCAGAGTTATTGTGAGACAGCTTTCTGTCAACTCAGGCACTAACCTGCTCACGTGAATCGGACTGAGGCTATCCCCGTCGCAATCATATTTCTGCTAGTATATAGGCGATGGCTTAGCATTGGCTTATTCATTACTAAGTACCGAGTAGGACTGTTAAACTCCTACTTAGGTTGGGCGAACACGCTAGAGGAAAACTCACTTCTGCACGTTGTAGTTCAGTACCCATGAACGTGCTGCTAGCAGTAAGAGTGCATAAGTCCTTGAAAAGGTTAATAGCACTGCGTTTGTGTGATCAAACACTCAGAATATCAACCAGAAAGAGAACCTATTTTTTTATGATTTTTCGTCTTTTTTTCTTCTTTTTCACATTCAGTGAAACAAGACGACAGTGCAGATTCTTCACTGTACGCAGCGCTCCTGTTGATGACATCATTCACGACTATTGGATTTCTGGTCAGAAAACTCATGCGATCATCATGGATGCAGAACTTGCTCAATAGCTGCCGAGCTAAAATTTCAATCATCGCTAACATTCATACCCTCAAACGACATAAAGTAGCCGACAAAACGTCTAAGGTAAGCTTATTATTTTCTAAGCATCTTAGTTTTGCACTTGAAAATAAAAGTTGCACAGTAAAGACTCATTAAAACAATAAATCAAAGTACAAAAAACGTACTCATTGTCATTTACAATGGAATGGACATGATATACTGAAGTACTGAGTTTTGCCTCTCTGCATCATCGGTAAACCCGTTATTCATCTATTAAGTCAACAAAAGGAGGACGGATAGCACAGTGGTCATGATGTCCGTCACCACGAGCATGGTGCTAGTTCGATTCCGTTCCGGGCCAACCAAACCTCCCATCCTTCCGGGGTCGAGAAATTGGTACAGGACTTGTATGGAAAAACCTCATTCTCTGCTATCCAATTGGGAACGCTCCAAGCCGGCTATCTCAGGGCTCCAAAAACAATTACTGGACCAAAATTTTACGATATTCAAGATAAAATGGAGTCTTAAAACAGTAAACAAAAACCTAAAAGTTAGAAGAATTTTGTGTACATTGGTTGCGTGGAACCGAATCGAATGTGGGAAATGCTAAGATCCTAACAGCAGAAGTGAAGACGGTTCATATAAAATGAAACAAAAATTTAGTTAACAAAGGTCTCCATTCTTCAGTATATCACTCTTGAACAGCACAATGGGTTTTGCTACCAAGGATGAAAAATAAAGGTTAAAGCTTTCGGCGTTGATCAATCCTTGAGGGATGCGCCATGCATTCGATTTCTTCAAGCACCGTTTGAAGGAGAATGAATGCATATCTGGCCCTTACAATGGCTCGAGGTGCCCGACCGATGTATCCAGCTAGTGCTGCCATCCTTCCAAACAAGTCTGGTACCAATTTACCGACTCCGGAGGAATGGAAGGTTTTCTGAGCCATGGACGCCGGGATCGATTCCACACATGTATGTTGCAGGGCGTCTCTGACCACTGCGCTACACGCGTCACTCTGATACCAAAAGTGGTATCAAATGTACCAATTTTTTCCATTTAATGTCGTTTTTATCATATTTGGCGAGAATGCACACAGAGGTGACTTGCCGCACTCTACCATAGGTGCAAACTTTACCTCGTGAAAAAAGATTGCCGTGATCCTTCTCGAAGGTAGATATGCGACAGCCTTTTTGTTGACGACGACCCTAACTATAAAAGTAGCTCGCAGTAAACTGACCGAAAACTTTTGGCTGAACCCTCACATAAGATACGATTACCTAGAGAATCGAAGTCTGCATATCTGGAAATATCACGAATGTGTTCACATTGAAAACATCACTACTTCTGAAATGTGCAATGTTTTGTAGGGAAAACTTTTCTGAAAGGAAAGAAAACTATTGCATGAACAGAACTGCCTTTTTAGATACTTGTACATCTCTCACAATTGCGTAAATGTTAAAATCCGGGAGAAAGACGTATGACGCTTTAACCGACCAAAGTTTTCCAAATAAACTTGAACTTTTCAAAAAATAAAATACTTCATATGCGTCATTTTTCTTTTGAATAAAAACAAGTGAGAATGCATTAGTCATTTACTTTATGAGTATATTGATATGGCTGCAATATTTTAGATGTTTGTCGTGGATTTAAAGGGACTCAGCGATGCGCCGGCATTCCATGATAACAAAAACCTCGATCTTCGCTATTCATTGCAGCCATCCGAAGAACCAGCAAAAAGTGGAAAACAGCTATTTACGAATGATACTAGTACGACTGAGTCGAACACTTGCCATGAAATCGATTCTTGTTTCACCTACCACGAAACGAAGGCTGGCCACATTTGTTTAGACTACTGATACACCTAATCGAGCTGAGGCATTTCCACGTAAACTCTACATATCGATTAGTTTTCGGCATTGCTCACTTCTGATGCGTTTATACGAATAATAATAGACGTTGAATATTGCTCATCATGCAACCTTATCCATCTACGCGTTTCCCACCCGCGTTAGCGGCGATCTTCGTGCACTCACTGTATGCAACATGGTAGGTATACGAACTGATTTTTTCGCAGGCGCAATCAATACGCATGCATGGAGCTCAGTTTTTTCCGGTGCGCCTTATGGAATATACAAAGCGCATAACTAAATGAAAGATGAGATTGAAAATTTATGTGAGAATGCCTCGGTTCATTAGCCACTAGTCCAAGACGTCGATTTGTACAGTTTCTGTTTATATATTTTCCATATTTTACTATATTTCTCGCATGCTGAACTTTTTTTTATTTCAAACAATGTGCTTACATGTCGACAGACAAAAAACGAGAAGCTGTTTTAACATTTAATCTCTGTGACGGGTTATTACCTGTTTTCGACTTTTCACCAGCAACGTATTTGTAGTTCTGTCTCGCTAGTTCTTGTAATAATCATAGAATACTTGGAGTGAGATTTTTTGTTTGGTAATCGGTGCTTAATTAACGAGAAATACACTCTATCGATGAGCATAGCAAAACCATTTAATACAGCTGCAGCTTAAAACTCTTCAGAGAACTCACAGTCAATCTCCGCATGTCCTGGAATCTTACTCGAGAAGCATGTTCTATGTATTTATATGTTTGTATAGTAATTTATTGAAGAGTTTTTGTTTCATATGAAACAATAAATACTCTTACATGGTTTAAACACTCTAAGCTTTTCACGTTGACAAGGCTTTATCAAAGCCACCGCTAATTGAAAAAACGGCAAGGACTGTCACAGTGCCACTTACAATATACGAATATTAATGTATATATATATATATATATATATATAGCCTATATATGGCATCCGTTTTTTATTGGTGTCACCGAAACAGGGAATCAGGTCGACGTTTTCGTTCAGAAACCTATCTAAGAATAAACTCATGCTAGAAAGGCTCGTCTCGCTAGAGTAAACTTAGTGAGGAAGCGATGCATCTCCCTCGTGCCACCGAAGGTGATCTCAATAAGTTTTAAGAAAATAATTTAAGAAAAAAACAAAACGTAGTAACACTTTTGGTATTATTTTGTTTACGACTGATCCCCATGTTAATCGTTAGCGTTTTGTCCTTCCTTAGAAATGAGTAGTAAACCACTGCTCGAATCTTTTCGAATACTTACATTTAGACATTTACTTGAATTTTAATCTTTTAGCATATGGCCAATAAAAACTCCAATTTGAAGGAGACTCTGGTTTTTTGGCAGGACTTTCTCCGCGGAATAGCGAGATCGCGAGTTAGCATTGGTAGTTCTTAGGTTGTCACCACAGAATTTGGTATGTGATGTGATCTTGGCACTTTTCACTGTAGAAGCTCCCTGTTCTCACTAACGATAAGAATTTAAATTTTTAATAAAAACGGCTTTTAAAGTTAGTGATCTGAGTCAGAGCGAATAAATCTTGTTTGACGACGCGTTCGAATCTGAACACACTGCTTAGCTACGCCCTTCATGCTACCGTACTTCCACGCAGTGAACGTCAGTGTATCGGCTCTAATCAGAATGAAAAAGACGTCATTGGTAGACATCGTCTTGCAAACAGTGAGCAAAATATCTGAATTATACAAATGTAGACAAACTGTAACGGAACTGGATTTTTCACTTACCTTTATTTACATTTCCGATAAGTATTCTCTCGATACAAGGAGCGCTACTAGTCGAAATACCAAATGTGGAAGAGCAAATGGGTGGGAGAATATCCCTTGGTAGGATTACGACTGATTAAAGTATGGTTCAAATTTATGCTGAATTTCAAACCTTTGATCTTCTTCATATTTGTAGCAGAATTTGAAGTCATTGACTGGTACGGAAACTACTAGAGCAATGATACATGAGTGTGAAATTTACTACTGCATTTTAGTAAGTTCGTAGAGCACAGAGAGTGATCCACAATTTAAAAGATACATATTGACGACGGAACAGTGTCATTTGTCGAATATCTACTGGTTCACGATCCTGACTGATACATCGGATCTAGCAGGCAAAGCGTGGAAAGACACCTGAAGTAGATTTTCTTTCGGAATCAAAAACATTGGCGTAATGTCGACAAAGTCTGTAGGCTAAAGACTTAAACATGGTAGGCAACATAATTTCCTTTATTAGTTTATCCTTTTGTCGTTGCTGGGCAATATTTGAGGTTGTTGAACTTTGATGTAAGCAAAGTTTCATCTCCCAACAGGGTTGTCTAAGGCGAATAACTGGAAACGACAACCAGGATAATCGGCTGAGTAGTTCTATGCAGCTGCAGGGTCATATGAGTTAGCTAACGTTGGCTTCTTGTTAAAGTTTGTGAAAATAAAAGGTCTCATTCTAAAAACCAATAAGGTTACTCGAGTAGAGGGTGAAGTTCGGCTTTGAAGGTTGTGCTTGTGCTGCTGAATGTGTGAGGAACGTTTAAATACTTTACAAGCACTCACTTTCGCTACTTCACCATCAGCGATATTATAGATACTACACCCTGGTGAAGGTTGATGCCGAACTTTGTTTTAACATGATACAAAGAAAAAATTTTAATGGTGAAAAATTGGATAGTTAGCTTCATTTTTCACCTTGCCTCCTATATTCGGTTTTTTCGATAGCGAAGCATAGTTAAAACATATCTTCGCGCATACCAAGGGCAATAGTTGAAGCACAACCAGTTAAGTAAGCAGAGTTTCGAAAAGGATTTTGCCGCATTGTATGAGCCACATCCAAACAGTTATTGTGAAAGTCCATCGGAAATACCATTTAGTCCAAATCTTAAACCTTTCTAGACTACGACATAGCATTTGACAGCGCAAAACGAATGCAATCCCCTATGAGCACCTGTCAACCAAGGAGTGCACCTGTCCTACATAAAAACTCTATCCGACTGTTATTGGACCTACACTACGGAAACACAGCTTTCCCACTAACTCCTTGTCATACTCATTCGAAAATGTGATTGCATATCCACAAAGCTGTTTACTGACGTATTACAGAAAAAAACGAAGTCACTTGGTTGGGATGAGAAAA